TCGTAAATCTTTGCCCGCATTTATTTCACTCAATGCTCAAAAATCCTAAACAGATCTCCTATGTGAGATTGAATTTTAAACGGTGTGCATCTTTGAGGCAGAAGGTTCCTTTGTGTTCTGGCAAAGAACATAAGAAAACCAAAGAAGGAATGGCAATTTTAAAATTGCTCCAAGCCTCTTAAATTGCCTACATGACCCAGCAAAGGCTGGAAATACAGGCAGTCCTCGACTTATGAACGGTCACTTAGCGACCATTCCAAGTTATGACAGGCCTCCAAAAAGGTACTTATGACCAGATTCAAAGTACTCAGGTGACCCCAAGTGCTTCAACAAGCCTCTAAAAGGATGCAAATGTCCATCTGTCTGCAAAGAGTATAAATCCTTCTGTTTCCCACCATCCAGTCAGAGCTGAAGAAGCTTCTTGGATGAGAAGGGAAATGTCTTCCAAAAAAACCCGGAAAGTCCAGTCACCTCTTGAAAAAAAAGTACCTTTGGGACTCCCAAGTGGCCTCAACGATTGTAAAAGGATGCAAATGACCAGCTGTCTGCAAGGAATATAAATCCTTCCATTCCCCACTATCTGATCAGAGTAGAAGAAGCTTCTTGGATGAGAAGCGAAACGTCTTCGAAGAAAAACAAGAGTCCAGTTACCTCTTGGAAAAAAAGCACCTTTGGGACATCCAGATTCAAGGTTCTAATGTTCTGTCTGTCTGTCTCTCTCTCTCTCTCTCTCTCACACACACACACACACACACAGTCATGCGATTGCATTGTGCTGCACCACAGTGTCCGATACAAGGAGGAAACTGATCGGACTCTATTTTGCAGAGAGGGAGCAGGAGGCAGGGGTGGAATTCCACCGGTTTGGACCGGTTCTACAGAACCGGTTGTTATGATACTGTGTAGTTCAGAGAACCGGCAAATTGTGCCCCTGGCTGGCCCCTCCCCTCCCCTCCCCACCCAGTCAGTCCTTATCGTGCATGCGCAATGTTGCCCGCATGCCCGACATTGCTGACGGCGTTCTTCCCCGTGCAATCACTCCTTAAGGCATTTTTTTTCCTCCCTCGCGACAATCAGCTCTTCCTACAATCAGCTGTGCTGGGATTCCCCTCGCTTGCTTACTGCTTCACCCAGGAGGCTTCCCTGAGGCCCAGGGAGGCAAAATGGAGGGTGGGAGATGCAGCAACCCCAACCCCCTCCATTTTTTACCTTCCTTGGCCTCAGGAAAGACTTCTGAGAGGAAAAACGCCCCCCGCAGGAGGCTTCCCTGAGGCCCAGAAGGCCCCCCAAATGGAGGGGGGGTTGCTGCGAAAAAAAAAAGAAAAAAAAAGCCATGCCCACCCAGTCATATGGCCATGCCCACCTAGCCACGCCCATAGAACCAGGTGTTGCAAAATTTGAGTCCCAGCCCTGGTGGTGTGGGGAGGGGGAAACGGCCTGCCTGAACTCTCCGGCTCTTAATCACAGTTAAGAGCCAGTTGCAAGATAAAATAGAGAAATGAAGCATGTCATAATATAAATATAACGTAATAGTAAAAATAATACAATGAAATTATACATTATAACTGATTACTATGGAAAGAATTATAATTTGCTCAAAAAGGATAAAGTAAATAAAGTGTAATGATGATTTAACAATAAGATAGCATGATACGGATAGGTTTTTTTACAATATGAATTTTAATCAAAAGTTTTAGATGGAATGACTGTTGATATTCTGCACAAGAGATATGTACCAACCAACACGCTGTACAATCGAAAGATGGTTTTATTTACTGTTTTATGTCTGTGTTTGTTTATGTTTGTTGTCAAAATAAATAAAAATTTCAAAAAAAAAAAGAGCCAGTTGCAAGATGCAACTTTTAATTGCAAAATATAGTTTGATATAGTTTGCTCTTGGTTTTTTTTTATCCATACGATTGGCTTGTAATGGGGTGCATATGTTTTCGTAGCTTTTCACAGGTATAGGTATGCAGGTCTTGGCATGTTCGTGTCTTTTCCTGTGTAAGATTGAGAGTATCTTGGCGATGTTTCGGTGAGGTCCCACTCACCATCCTCAGGCTGGTGCTTTCAGCTTGCACTGACATGAAGCTGAAAGCACCAGCCTGAGGATGGTGAGTGGGACCTCGCCGAAACGTCACCAAGATACTCTTAATCTTACACGGGAAAAGACCCGAACATGCCAAGACCTGCATATATATATATGTTTTCTTAAGTTTTCGCGGGTACTTACATGTATGGTATTCAGCTTTGTTCAGGTATTTTCCCATGTCATTATAGTTGTGCTTTTAAAGTTGCAGCAACGTTTCGGCAGAATCTCATCTGCCATCATGTAACTCCAAGTCAATCACACTTCTGTGAAATCAAACTGTCCACTTAGGTAGCAACGCTGATTGACAATCAATTTCACATGCTTTTGTGCAAATGGAATAGACAACAGGCATAGGCAGTTAGCAAGACATCCCCAATAAAGGAGTGGTTCTGCAGGTAGTGACCAGAGACCACTTCTCAGGTCCTATGCTTTCTGGCTGATGGTTTGGTCATTTTTGAATGCTGGCGGTGCTGTCACTCTAGTGGTAGCATGAGACAGAGTCTACAACCCACACAAGTGGCTCAATAGTGCAGCTCATCCAGGATGGCACATGAACACGAGCTGTGGCAAGGTTTGCTGTGTCTGTCAGTGTTGTGTCCAGAGCATGGAGGTACTACCAGGAGACAGGCCAGTACATCAGGAGACATGGAGGAGGCCATAGGAGGGCAACAACCCAGCATCAGGACCTCTACCTCCACCTTTGTGCAAGGAAGGACAGGAGGAGCACTACCAGAGCCCTGCAAAGTGACCTCCAGCGGGCCACAAATGTGCATGTGGCTGTTCAAACGGTCAGAAACAGACTCCATGAGGGTGGAGTGGGGGTTGTGCTTAGAGCCCAACACCGTGCAGGACATTTGGCATTTGCCAGAGAACACCAAGACTGGCAAATTCGCCACTGGTGCCCTGTGCTCTTTACAGATGAAAGCAGGTTCACACTGAGCACATGTGACAGACGTGACAGGGTCTGGAGACACCGTGGAAAATGTTCTGCTGCCTGCAACATCCTCCAGCATGACCGCTTTGACAGTGGGTCAATAATGGTGTGGGGTGGCATTTTTTAGGGGCCGCACAGCCCTCCATGTGCTCGCCAGAGGTAGCCTGACTGCCATTAGGTACCAAGATGAGATCCTCACACCCCTTGTGAGACCATATGCTGGTGCGGTTGGCCCTGGGTTCCTCCTAATGCACGACAATGCTAGACCTCATGTGGCTGGAGTGTGCCAGCAGTTCCTGCAAGATGAAGGCATTGATGCTATGGACTGGCCCGCTCGTTCCCCAGACCTGAATCCAAATGAGCAGATCATGTCTCACTCCATCCACCAACACCACGTTGCACCACAGACTGCCCAGGAATTGGGGGATGCTTTAGTCCAGGTATGGGAAGAGATCCCTCAGGAGACCATCCGCCACCTCATCAGGAGCATGCCCAGGCGTTGTAGGGAGGTCATACAGGCACGTGGAGGCCACACACACTATTGAGCCTCATTTTGACTTGTTTTAAGGACCTTACATCAAAGTTGGATCAGCCTGAAGTGCTTTTTTCCACTTTAATTTTGAGTGTAACTCCAAATCCAGACCTTCATAGGCTGCTAAATTTGATTTCCATTGTTAATTTTTGTGTGGTTTTGTTGTCAGCACATTCAACTATGTAATGAACAAAGTATTTAATGAGAATATTTCATTCATTCAGATCTAGGATGTCTTATTTTTGTGTTCCCTTTATATTTTTGAGCAGTGTATATATGTCAGATCAGGATGCCACAGAGAAAGTAATGAAGCTTTCTTCTCATCTCTTCGTGCCCAGGAGAATAAATGCTCTGAGGCTTTGCGACAGCCTAGTCTACTCTTCCCCCCGCCCCCCCCCCGCCAAGAGAAATGAATGAACACACAACCACACCACCATCTAGTGGACACACATCATGGATCCTTCCACTCATCCTGCCAAAAAAAATCGAGGAAGGAACCAAGAGGCTGCATTTTTTTAATAATGCGGGTTTTAATAATGCCAACAGATCCTGGAGGTTACGGATGAAAAATGTAAAAAATTTAAAAGCAACCAGATGGTTAAAGAATTCCTTTTTAGTGTAGGGGTGGTGTGCCCCAAAACAAACTTCCTTTCCACCACCATTCAGCGGTTCTCAACCTGAATTTCTGACCTGCAAAAGAAGAGGTCTCCAAACCTGGCAACTTCTAAGACTTGTGGACTTTAACCAGGGGTGGGATTCAAAATGTTTAACAACCGGTTCTGTGGGCGTGGCTTGGCGGTCACGTGACTGGGTGGACATGGCTTGATAGTCATGTTATTGGCTGGGTGTGGCCAACTCAATATCACTCACATTGAGGCACGCATCTCCTCGCCTGGCCTCTCATGACTGTGGGGATGCTGCAACAGTCGTAAGTGTGAAAAAAGGTCATAAGTCACTTTTTTCAGTGCCGTTGTAACTTTGAATGGTCACTCCACCCAAGCAAAGTACCAGCAAAGGAGGGGGGAAAAAGCTCCAGAGAAGTTCCAGAGACAGGAAGTCTAGTCCTGCCAAGAATGTAATAAGGGTTAACGGAGAGGCAGTTTCTGTAAGCAACACCAGAATGTTTCCTTCCTGTCTTCCTTACAGGATTAGGCCAGTAATTTCTTCTAACAACCAGTTCTCCGAGCTGCTTAGAATGTTAACAACCAGTTCTAGTGAATAGGTGCGAACTGGTAGAATTCCACCCCTGGCTTCAACTCTTATGCTGGCTGGAGAATTCTGGGAGTTGAAGTCTACAAGTCTTAAAGTTGCCAAGTTTGGGGACCCCTGTGCAAAAGGATCAGAGTTATAAAAACTAGGAAGTGGTGACTTCGTTCTGACTTGGCAGCTGAGGCTTTGATATAAACGGGTGGATTACTTTGATAAAACTTTAGGCATTTGGATACCAGGAAGGTGTTTATTGTTTTCAGGTAGGACAAGATGCTCTTCAAATTTTGCAAAGGAGGATGCCAGGTACCTCTAAAATTCCAAAGTGCAGATAAAGGACAAACAACATGCAGTGAAAATAGATCCTGGCAGCCTTGCTGGCTGCCTCCATTTTATGGGTTCCTCTCTATGGCGCAGAATTCTTCTAGGCCAGGATGTTTGTTGGCTCGTTCTTCTGGTTGCAGTCTGTTGCAGCCGTAGACTCTGCTCCTTCGCCTTCAGATGCAGTAACTCTGGGGTGGTTATTTCTCTGGTTGCATATGGCATGCAAAAGAATGCCTGTAAAGGGGGGTTTTTTTTGGGTTTTTTTAAGAAAGAGGGAGGTGGTATGGAAGGAAAAAGAGAAAGGAGAGAGAAAGAAAGAAAAGAAAAGAAAAGAAAAGAAAGAAAGAAAGAAAGAAAGAAAGAAAGAAAGAAAGAAAGAAAGA